TAATCCTACAATAATAAGTAATCAGTTAGAAAAATCCCCCATAGTAAAATCCAAAATTATCCAACCGATAAGAAAATATTAAGCATAACAATCAGAAAAAAATATTGCTAGTAAGTGCTCTTTACGTATTTGTCAATTTCTCAAATGCTGTCAAGCCCTGTTCATCGGAGCCTTCGGAGCTATACTATTAGTGAGGGGGCGGCTGGTATAACAATGCTCAGCCCTCTTCGAATGAAATGAGGAACAATGAAAATAACTTCGTTCAACACGAGAATAGGGATAATCATCCCAACTCCAACGATTCCTCCATGGACATGCACGCAGATAGTCTGATCATGACGCTACCTACAGAATTTCTATTAGAATTGGTGCACAAGCTGCTTGCCAAGCGTTGGTTAGAGTCTTCAAAATGCTATTTCATTCCTGTGGTTTTATTTTTATTGCCGTCTTGCAATTGAAAAAAATACAGGGGAATGTCTGTTGATGCTTAAATATGACCTGCGGAATTCTTCAGTTGAATTCCTGTAATGGCCGAAGGAATTGAATACGCAGAGAGAAGATTGGTAACGGTGGCCTTTTGTTCTTCACCGAGTCGTAATATGCAAGGAAGAGAGAGGGGAAGACGAAGAGATGGAGCGTGTGGGTGTGTGTTTGTGAATACGCATAGAGAGAGTGAGAGACGTTTGGTAACGGTAGAAAATTGGGAGGCATTGATGAATACCCAAGGGAAAGAGAGAGAGGGGAAGACGAAGAGAGGGAACGTGTTGGTATCAGTTTGTGAATACGCACAGGTGGAGGGAAAGAGAGAGAGAGACAATTGGTAACGGTAGAAAATTGGGAGGCATTGATGATTTAGGTTTCCTCTAGGGCAGGTTAGATTGGCTTTAATATTTACGGATAAGAATGACATACTTTTGATTTTAGGGGGTAAAAGTGAAAAAAATTGTTTTTAACATATTCCGACTTTTTAAGCTAGTATAGATATTAAGTTTCAGTTTGTAAAAAAAGTATGAGCATTAATTTAATTTTTTTTATTATAGATATAATAAGTCAACACGAATACAATTAAAAAAAAAAATTATTTATATTTAAAATTTTGATCTCATTTATTGATGCGATTCACATTGATTTTCAAATATTGGAACTGGTTCTTTATTCAATGAAACAAGATCACCAAATCAGCAAATAACATCAAATATTTAGGCCTGAATCGTAGTTCTCCAAAAATTAATAATCAGGTTGACACACTAGACAATTATTTACGAGAATTTTAACCATACTTAAATTTTTATTCACATTTAAATTAATATTAAGTTATATTCAAATTTAAATTAATATTTAAATAAAAAAAGTTTATTTGATAAAAAATATCCAAGGGATAAATTTAAATTTAAAAAAATAAAAATTCAAATTTAAAAGAAAGTAAAAATGATTATTTGATCTTTAAAAAAAGGTGAAATCTCAATATTAAAAATTTGAGTAAGGATTTGAGTCTCTTTTAATTTGAGGAAAAAAATAAAATTTTTTTGATTTGGTATAAATTTGAGTCAAACTTAGAGTATATTTTTAAAATTTTTTTTTCTCAAATTTAAATTTATGTTATGATTAGAGTTGTTTAAAGGGAGTTGATTTAGAGTAAAGTTGTCAAGTAGTCAACGCCACCAACAAGGACCAACACGCGGACACGATATATCACTCTCTCTCTCTCTCTCTCTCTCTCTCTCTCTCTCTCTCTCTCTTATCCAAGGAAGTGAGTGGCAGACCTTGAACCCCAACCAGCCTATTATCTCCCTCTCGTCTTACTTCCATCACCTCTTCTTCTGTCTGTCTCTCTCTCTCTCCCCTCCCCTCTGGTGACTTTATTATTCTCTTTGTTTTTTGAGTCCAGTCACTCTTCCTTCATGTTTTGCAACCATGAGACTCTTCCTTATCAACTGATCTCAAGACTCGTCTTCTGTTATTACCCATCATCACCACCATCCACAGGCCAAATCCCAGTTGGTGTGAGAAGCTGGAACGATTAATCTAACCCTCAAAAGGCGGTCAGTGTATGCGCGTGTATAAGTATAGTGTATCCTATATTCATTCCTATTTCTATGTTTTGATTTCTGTTTAGAATTTTTTGGTAGTTGAGATTTGATATTTCTGAAGTTGGGATTTGCAATTTGAGTTTGAGCTTTCAACAACTATTCCACAGCTGACCCAAGTCTGAGCATACCGAGAAAACTCAACTCTATTAACACTCCTATTCATTATGTAAATTGAAATAAGGTTACAACTTACAACTTATATACTGTCATTAGAATCCTTTGTTGCACTTTGAACTTTTCTTGTGACTTTGATCCGGCCTTACAATTGATCCGGTCCTATTGTTTAGCCTATTTTGATGAGCAGTTCGAATTTTTTTTACTTTTAAATTTTCATTTTTGTCTCAATTTTTTTTTTTTTTTGGAGGGGTTTGGTCTTTTCCTCCTTTTACATGAGACTAGAAATAATGGACTAACAGAAACACAAGACAAGAATGCCCTCCATGTGAATTTTTTTGATTGGATGCTAAAAGAAATATTCCATCTGTTTACTTGACACTAAAAGTAACTCATGCTTATTCCTGTTCCAATTCAAGCTGATGAAATGGAATCTCTTGACTTTTTTGATTGGATGCTCTACAAGTTCATTGACATGATGAATTGGTTCTTCATCAATCTGATCCAGTCTTGAGTTTTGTCCATGGCTGGTAAAAGCACTCAAGACAAACCTTATTCTTCTTCGTCTTTGTCTTCAACACCTCCATGGAAGTACGATATCTTCCTGAGTTTTCGAGGTGAAGATACACGCAAAAACTTCACCGATCACCTATACACTGCTTTGGTTCAAACCGGTATTCACATCTTTAGGGATGATGATGAACTAGAACGAGGAAAAGAAATTTCATTGGAACTACTGAAAGCAATTCGAGGGTCAAGAATTTCTATTATCGTATTCTCAAAGAACTATGCTTCCTCTCGATGGTGCCTCGATGAGCTTGTGGAGATCCTTGAATGCAGAAAAACAATAGGCCAGTTGGTTCTTCCTATATTTTACGATGTCGATCCATCTGATGTACGCAAGCAAACGGGGAGTTTTGCAAAGGCGTTTGCAAGGCATGCAGAATGCTTTGTGGCTGAAATTGAGAAGGTGGAGAGATGGAGAGATGCACTTACTGAAGCTGGGAATTTATCGGGGTGGGATTTGCAAAATGTTGCAAATGGGTACGTAATCCATGCTAGCCTGCTTCAGTTCCTTGTGCACTTCATATCTCTATTTGTTGTTTCGGTTGTAGGATTGTGCAGCCTCAGTTTATCAAATGATAAATGCTATTTCGGTTTAAAATTTTAATTTAATTTGTTGACTTATTGATGTGATTTCAGTGGAACCATTAAATCAACATTAAGTTCTAATGTTTGATGGACCTTATAATCAATTCAAAGGTCATAGTGAATTAGATCAATAAATTAGGTCTCAATCGTTTTGCTCATATCTTAGAATTAATTTTTCAAAGTATTTCTTTGAACCAGTCTCATGTTTTTGAGTTTTAAAATGTGAAAATTGGGACGGAGTCCTCTTCAAGTGACATATAATGAGTTTAGTCCATTAAGAAAACTTATTTGGGGGTAAGTCCGATTTTAATTTTACCAATAAGTAGTTAAGTTCACTATTTTTTTAAAACTCCAAAATGTCTTTCTAATGATTTAAATTAGTTTTCTAAATAGTCATTATTGATTCACACTTAGTGACAGATTTTTTTTTCTATAAAATCTGAAATTCAAATTTAAATTTAACATCACTACCATTTCTCACTATCTCTCTCTCATTTTTTTTTTACTGAGAAGACTGGTTAATTTTACATTGAATGTTACTATGCATGTTATTATTTTTTTGTTGTGCATGTTATTATTTTTTTTATGAGTATGCTACTATTTTTCTAAAATATCAATATTTAATGTTATTTTTTTTGTTGACCATGTTATTGCTGTTATTTTTTTCAAATATTAATATTCCATGTAACTGTTTTTTATTTTTAAATGTTACTATTTTTTTGTGTTGAAGTGGTACAATTTTTTAAAGTTGTTAATTTTTAAATTTGTTGTAATTAAATATAACTAATGAGAGTATTTTGAACAATAGAGATTAAAATAGATTTAATATTAAATAAGTTTTCTTAATATATTTATCTCCAAATAAGTCCACAAAGGGGACTAGCCTCCAAATTTTCCTTTTTAAAATCGATAAATCTAGTTCTAGTAAAGAAAAAATAGCATCTAATTTGCCATGTTTTTCCAGTTCAAAAAAAAATTTGCCATGTTTTTTTGTTTGTTATTTCTCATTTCGACTTGTCAATTTTTTGTTATTTTACTAGTTGTTTGGATTAAAATTGCAGGCATGAAGCAAAGTTTATCCAAAAAAAAAAAAATGAGGATGTTTTGTGTAAAGTGAAACATACATATCTAAATGTCGCCAAGCATCCGGTTGGAATGGATTCTCGTGTCAATGACATAATGGATTCTCGTGGAATGGAGATTAAAATGAACTTAATATTAAATAAATTTCTTTGATAGACTTATCATCAAATAAGTCTACAAAGGGAGACTGGCCTCCAAATTTTCCTTTTAAAATCGATAAGAAAAAAGAGCATCTAATTTGCCATGTTTTCCTGTTTGTTATTTCTCATTTCAACTTGTCAATTTTTTGTTATTTTACTAGTTGTTTTGTATTAAAATTGCAGGCATGAAGCAAAGTTTATCCAAAAAATTGTTGAGGATGTTTTGTGTCAAGTGAAACATACATATCTAAATGTTGCCAAGCATCCGGTTGGAATGGATTCTCGTGTCAATGACATAATGTTGTTATTAAACATTGCATCAATTGGAGTCCACGTAATTGGGATATATGGCATGGGTGGAGTAGGCAAAACGACCCTTGCAAAAGCTGTCTATAATCGAATTTTTCAGCAGTTTGAAAGTGCTTCTTTTCTTGCAGATGTTAGAGAAGTTTCAGGACAACAAAATGGTCTTGTTCATTTACAAGAGCAACTTCTTTCTGAAATTCTGAAGAAAAAGAATCTAACAGTTGGCAATATTCATAGAGGAATTCGTTTGATGAAAGAAAGACTTTGTTCTAAAAGAATTATTATTGTCCTTGATGATGTGGATCACATTAGCCAACTAAACTCATTAGCTGGGAATCATGATTGGTTTGGTTCAAGAACTAGGATTATTATCACAACTAGGGACGAGCATTTGCTGAATCAAATTAACGTAGATGACAAATATGAGGCTAAGGAATTGATTTACTATGAGGCTCTACAACTCTTCAGCTGGCATGCCTTTGGACAACCCACACCACTGGAAAATTATCTACAGCTATCAAATGGTGTACTAAAATATGCCGGAGGGCTTCCATTAGCTCTTGAAGTTTTGGGTTCATATTTATCCAGAAGAACAATACCAGAATGGATAAGTGCATGTGAGAAATTGAAACATGTACCTCACAATGAAATTCTGCAAAAACTTAGAATAAGCTTTGATGCACTAGATGATGAAGTAAAGGATATTTTCCTTGATATTGGATGTTTTTTAGTCGGAATGGATAAAGAGTGTACAATTAACATATTGGATGGTTGTGGTTTCTTCTCAGAAATTGGAATTAGTGTTCTTACTAGTAGGTGTTTACTAAAAATTAATGAAGAAAATCAACTGAGGATGCATGATTTACTTCGAGATATGGGAAGAGAAATTATTCGCAAAGAATCTCCTAAAGAACCTGAAAAGCGCAGCAGACTTTGGTTTCATAAAGATGTATGTGATGTTCTGAAAAACCAAAAGGTAATCAAAATTAATCATCTTTTATTCGATAAAGATACTTTTTAGTTTGGAACATAATTATTTGGTTTAGATTTGTATATATGCTATTGATATACTCACATGTTCCTTGCATATGTCTATAGGTTGCAAATTACTTATCAAATATGTTGTTGTTTCTTTATTAAAATTAGGGAACAGAAGCAATTGAAGGTATCGTCCTAGTCCTACCGCTCATAAAAAACATAAATGTGAAGACTAAAACATTTGCAAGGATGGAGAAATTAAGACTGCTTCGAATTGATTATGTGAATCTTAATGGAAGCTTTGAACATCTATTTGGAGAGTTAAGGTGGCTGTGTTGGCATTACTGCCCCTTGAAATCTTTACCATCCAATTTTCATCTTGAAAATCTTATTGCCTTAGACATGCAACACAATGACATCAAAAAATTTGGGCCAGCTATCAAGGTACTGAATTGTTTTTTACAACAATGTTCTCTTTAGTATTTGAGTAATTTGCATATTGTTCATTTTACAATCTCATTTTGCTTCGATTTTTCAGTTTCTAAATAATCTAAAAGTCCTCAACCTTAGTCACTCTAAATACCTTGAAGAAACCCCGGACTTCACTAGGGTATCAAGGCTGGAGACATTATTGCTTGAAGGTTGTTTACGTTTGTTCGAGATTCACCCATCAGTTGGACTTCTAAATAGACTGATTTGCTTGAGTTTCAAAGGTTGCACCAACCTTAGGAAACTCCCAAGCAGCATTTGCAATTTGATATCGCTTGAACATCTAAATGTTACTGGTTGCTCAAATCTACAAGAGTTGCCTGAGCATTTGGGCAATATGCAATGCCTTAGGGAGCTTTTTGCAGGTGGAACTGCTATTAAACAATTACCCTTTTCCTGCGGACTTCTGAAGAACCTTACAAGCTTATCACTACATGGAACTAATCAAAATTTGCCAAGAAAATCTTGGCTTTCTCTCATTTCATCTTGGGTATCACCACGAAGTCATGCTGATCCCAACAGACTTCTACCGCCTTCTATTTCAGGTTTATGTTCCTTAACAAGACTAAATCTTAGTGATTGCAACTTGTGTGAAGAAGATTTTTCAGCTGATCTCGGGAGTTTATTCTCACTACAAGAATTGGATTTAAAAAGGAATAGCTTTCGTAGCCTACCATCAAGCCTCTGTCACCTGTCCAAGCTAGAAATTCTCAGCTTAGATAACTGCAAGAGTCTTCAATCACTCACAGTACTTCCTATCAATCTAATGAGACTAGATGCCAGTGGTTGCACATCATTGGAAAAACTACCAAATCTATCAAGCTGCAAAACATTGGCATTCTTGCATCTTCCAACTTGCAATAGATTAGCAGAGATCCAAGGATTGGAGAACCTTGATTCTATGCGAGAGATTCACCTAGAAAGCTGCAAGAATTTGGCAAGTGCATTTATGGATAGTGTTGTTAAGGTTGTTATCTCTCTCTCTCTCTCTCTCTCTCTTTCTCTCTCTCTCTCTCACACACACATGTCATTATTTCCATGCATCAGGGACAGTCTGAACATAATAGTTACAACGTTTTCCTTCCAAGTAAGGAGATTCCCGATTGGTTTAGCCATCAAAGAATGGGATCTTCAATATGTTTTGATATGCCATTACATTTGGAACATAAATTCTTAGGGGTGACTCTTTGGGCTATTTATGCCTCAACCAATGAAGTGGGTGGCTTCACCACTCCTCCTTATGCTGTTATCTATGATAAAAGCAATGGTGGTGAATGGATCCTTTCGTCTTCAATCTTTGGTATTACAATAACCAAGGAAGAGCATTCATGGGTGAGCTTTGTACCACAAAGAATTTTGGATTTCCCAATGGAAGGTGGAGAAAGAATTGAAGTCTATGTCCAAATGGAGGCACCTATGGAGGTTAAAAAGTGTGGTATTCATCTGTTGTGCAAACCAAATCTTGAAGAACATAGTCCATGCGTCGATGGATATGATGGCACACTTGCAGTACTAGATTATGTGCATACTAAGAGAAGCCTTGGCAGTGATGATGTTGAAAAAAGCTGCAACTTGGAAAACAGACACAATAAAAGGTTGAGGATGGAGCCTGATTCAACATGAATTCAGATCGACATAGAGCTTGATGGGAACGATTGCTGCCGAAAGTTATTTTTTGGAGGGTGTGAGATTATAACTCAATCAACTTGCCGTGGTTATAATTATGAGTAATGTTACATTGACTAAATTTTGGGATCAAATTTGAAGTTTAAATGACATAGCAGTTGATTATTTAAAGTTTTTATTGACATTACACCAATCAAAGAAACCTAAGTTAACTGTCCTATCATTTGGATTCTAAATTTGATCCCAAAATTGGGTCAGTCTAGCATTATTATTTATAAAGCCAACTAAATCCTCAATGTCTTTTGATCTTCTTTTAATATTAAATCAATTACACACATTATCTTAATCCATATTTATCTATATCTATACTACTATAAAATGTCATGATATGAGAAAAACATATGATTACCTGAAATATCCCTATTGAATATCTAAATGTCATTTACATCCTTATGGTTAATATCCATGGCTGAGTCTCTTCTGGCTATTAGCATTCCCCACCCGTTTCTTCCGCTTTTGTTCTTTAACTCAGGTAGAATTTTGAAGCCTGCAAATGGACAAGCATCTGAGCAAGTATCTTGGTATGTGCCCAAACCTTTTACTCCTGAACAAGCACTGCTGGACAACATCAACCCTTCTGCTTCAGTTGCCGTGAAATTTACTACCAGCAAGAGGGAAGAGACTTTTGGAATTTTGACTTCACCAAGCTTGCCTTATTGTTAGACTGACCCATGCTATGGCAGTTGCCAATATGGATATGCTTAGTAGATACAAAAAGCTACTAGCTAGGAATTTTAATATATTTGATGTTTTGTTCTGTTCAATTGTTTAGAGTTGCAAACTTTTTATGATATGAGAAGGCAATTGCAAGGTATGAGCATTCACATTTAGTGGCCCTGAGGTTTTTTTCTTTTCATAGTTTTCCTGTTCCATGAACTTTAATTATGCATTAATATACTCCGTCACTTTTTTTTTAAACTATGGCCTCTTTCTTAATTACCCTTTGGCTAGTGTTGTAATGATTTTTGGCAAATATCATGGACGATTTACAAAATCAAATGTCTTGAATTTGAATTTTGACATTCTCTTGGGTTGAGGTCATTCCTCATGAATACCCTGTTCTGGAGTGGATGGTATGTCTTTGACCGGACTGGAGAAGGGATTAGTCGAGATGCGTGTCAGCTAACTCTTTGTGAATTTTAGTAGACCCATGAATTTCAATTGGAGCTAGGGTAGTGATGTAAAGACTTTCCAATTTTGTATGGTCGCAATATTTTTATGTTGCATTACGTGAATTTTATCGGAGTTGTTGGAGTTATCTAAGGTATTGAAGCTCCAAACAAGCAACTCATGAAAATTGTTGCATTGGGAGGATGAATTGTTGGAAAAGAATCAGGTGAATTAAACACAAAATTCAACTAATCTGTTAAAAATAACAGTAATGCTAGACTGATCAAATTTGGAGTCCAAATGACATGACAGTTGACTTGAGCTTCTTTGATTTGTGTCATATCATTTGGGCCCCAATAAAAATTTTAAATAATCAACTGTCATGTCATTTGAACTCAAAATTTAATTCTAAAATTTGGTCAGTTTAGTATTACTCTAAAAATAAAAAAAGCTAAAAACTCCAAATGTATCGTTTGATTTTACAAGGAGGTATCATATAATCAATTGGTTTAAACAGTTGATTTAGCCAGTTAAAAAAAAACAGTAAACAAGAAAATTCCATAAAAGGGTTGTTATGTAACAATGGAGAGATCTGGTTGAAAGGGTGTAAGAATTTTTTTTCTATTGGGATCGTCTGACAATAACTTTTAAGTCCTCCACTCCACAACGAGTTGACTGCGGTACTGATAAATTTTTTAGTTAATTAGGCTAGAATCTCTCGTTTGGTGTGTAAATTAGGTTCAGTTCTAATGTATTTTTAGTATATCAAAAAGTCTTATTTGTTTTTAAAAACTTTGAATGCGGTCCCTATTTTTTTTTTTTTTTGATGTCAGCAAAATACATCTAATAGTAATGCGCTCCTAATGTTAGTGAGATTGGACAGTTATTGCATATTTATTATCTATTTTATCATTATCACATGATTTCAACCTAAATTTGAGTCATTATAGTTACATCAGTATATGATACGTTAAAAAAAATAGCTAAGAGATGTTGACAAAGTGGACTTTGTGCTGGTCGTGTTTGAGTTGTTAGGATCTGTTTTATTCTTTCTGAGTCAATAACCCCTATTTATTAGGAAATATGTTATTTACATTTAGTTAGGGTATTGACCCTTTCTTTAAGTATCTACCATGATCTTAGGATTATAAATCATGGGTTGCATCTGTTTAACTCTGCTTCAGTGTAATGGCTTTATATGAGGCAAGATTACATTCAGTTTTAATAAGAATCATTCTCTACAGTTTGATAAAATTGTTGCTTTGAGTTTGGTTTTTCTACATTTTGGTATCAAAGCACCTACTGGCCCTTGATTGTGAGAGAAGAAGAGAGAGTTATGGCTGCAGAAGGGAATTTTGTTCAGCCGGTCATACCCAAATTCAATGGTTACTATGACCATTGGTCGATGTTGATGGAGAACCTTCTTCGTTCGAAGGATTACTGGAGTTTGGTCAATCAAGGAATCACTGTGCTAGCTGAAGGAGTGGAACCAAATGAGGATCAGTGCAAGATGATTGAGGATCAAAAGATGAAAGACCTCAAAGTCAAGAACTATTTGTTTTAGGCTATTGACCGGACTATAATGGAGACAATACTCAACAAAGACACAACTAAGAGTATTTGGGACTCCATGAAACAAAAATACCAAGGGTCTACAAGGGTCAAAAGAGCCTAGCTGCAAGCGTTAAGGAGAGAGTTCGAGGTGCTACAGATGAGGGAAAGTGAAACAGTGGATGAGTACTTTTTTCGGACACTTACTATTGCGAACAAGATGAAGGCTGATGGGGAGAAGATGAAACAAGTGATAATCATAGAGAAGATTTTGCGGTCAATGACGAGGAGGTTCAATTATGTTGTCTGTTCAGTTGAGGAGTCAAATGACCTCGACAAATTGACAATAGATGAGCTTCAAAGCAACCTCTTGGTGCATGAGCAGAGAATGAATGGACAGCACAGTGAAGAACAGGCACTGAAGATCACCTTTGAGAATAGAGTTGAAGCAAGAGCTAGAGGAAGAGGTGACCACATAGGGAGAGGACAAGGTTGAGGAAGACAAAGCTTTGATTGAGTGTTACAAATGTCATAAGTTGGGGCATTCCAATACGAATGTCCTAGCTTGAACAGCAGGGTTAATTATGCTGAGTTGGACGAAAAGGAAGAGTTGTTGCTAATGTCCTATGTAAAGCTTCATACCACAAGCTGAGAAGGAATATGGTTCCTTGATTCTGGATGCTCAAACCACATGTCAGGCAACAATCAGTGGTTTCTTGATTTTGATGAGCATTTCAGGCACTCGATGAAACTAGGAGATGACTCAATGATGCCGGTGATGGGAAGAGGAAACATCAAGTTGGAAGTTGGGGGAATAACTCAGGTAATAACTAATGTCTTCTATATTCCTGATTTGAAAAATAACTTACTTAGCATCGGTCAGTTGCAAGAAAAGAAGTTGACTATCCTGATACAAAAAGGAGTGTGTAAGATCTATCACCCTAGAAGAGGGCTCATAATGCAAACAAGAATGTCAACAAGCAGAATGTTTGTATTGTTGGCAAAAGTGGTACCTTAGTCATAAACATGTTTCCAAGTAGTTGCTAACAACATCACTGACCTGTGGCATCGAAGATATGGTTATGTGAATAACAAAAGCCTTAGAACCTTACAGTACAAGCAACTAGTGAAAGGCTTGCCTCAACTCAAAGCTACAAAACACTATATGTCTTGTCTGCAATATGGGAAAACAACATCGAGAAGCAATGCCCAAGAAAAGTTAGTGGAGAGCATCACGAAGGTTGCAATTGATACATGCCGATATTTGTGGCCCCATTACACCGATATCAAATAGCAACAAGAGGTACATTTTATGCTTCATTGATGACTTTAGTAGGAAAACTTGGATTTATTTCCTAGCTGAAAAGTGTGAAGCATTTACAATGTTTAAGAGTTTTAAAAGTCTTGTTGAAAAGGAGATGGGGAGTTGTATATGTTGCCTAAGAATTGGCCGAGGTGGTGAATTCACTGCACTGGAGTTCAACGAATTTTGTAAAGTTCATGGCATTAAGAGACAACTTACAGCAGCTTACACCCCTCAATAGAATGGGGTAGCTGAGCGTAAGAATCGAACCATTATGAACATGGTGAGATGCTTACTTACAGAGAAGGAGATGCCAAAGACATTTTGGCCAGAAGTAGTTCGATGGACAGTGCATGTGATGAATAGGAGCCCTACTTCAGCATTGAAAGACAAGACGCCTGAAGAAAGCTGGAGTGGAATCAAGCCAAACGTGGAGTACTTTAGAGTATTTGGGTGTATCGTCCATGTACACATACCAGATAACAAGAGATTGAAGTTGGACAACAAGAGTTACAAATATGTGCTTCTTGGTATTAGTGAAGAATCCAAGGGCTACAGACTCTACGATCTCATTGTCAAAAAAATTGTGACGAGCAGAGATGTGGTATTCGAAGAAAATGAAGGTTGGAATTAGGGGAGGAATAATGAAGAGGTCAAGTTTGATTGGGGAGATAATGACTATTCACTGAGTGATTCTGATGAAACTGATGAAGACAGAGATGAGGGTCACCAGGAAGAAGCAACTGCCTTCAGTGACTTAAATGAAGGAAATGATTCACCTGAAGGAAGTGGTTCAAGTACACCAGAAGGAAGCACACCAGATTCACTTGAAGGAAGGAATAGAAGAGCACCGATATGGATGCAAGATTATACTAGTGGGGAAGGCTTGTCTAAAGGGGAAGATGTGCAGAATTTAGTGTTGTACATATCACATGAAGATCCAACCTGTTATGAAGAGGCTGCAAGGAGTGAGAAGTGGAGGAATGCAATGGACTTGGAGATTGAAGCCATAGTAAAGCATAAAACCTGGGAATTGGTGAATCTACCTGTTGGAGCAAAAAAAATTGATGTCAAGTGGGTGTATAAGACCAAGCTTAATGAAAGTGGGGAGATTGACAAATGTAAAGCTCGCTTGGTCGCAAAAGGTTGCGCACAAAAGCGTGGAATAGACTACAATGAAGTGTTTGCTCCGATGGCACGATGAGATACTATACGTATGGTTTTGGCCATGACTGCACAAAAGGGTTGGATGGTGTTTCAGTTGGACGTGAAGAGTGCATTTTTGCACGGTGAGCTCAGTGAAACCGTATTTATAGAGCAACCACAAGGATATGTGCAAGAAGGTGAGGAAGACAAAGTTTACAGGCTTAAAAAGGCTCTATACGGATTAAAGCACGCACCTAGGGCCTAGTACAATTGGATGGAGGGTTATTTTATCAAGGAAAGGTTTGTGAGATGTAGTTATGAGCCTACTTTGTTTATCAAGACCCAAGAAGGAGGTAAAATTTTAGTGGTAAGTCTCTATGTTGATGATTTGATATATACAGGGAATGATGTAGGCATGTGTGAGAAATTCAGAAATTCTATGAAGTTGGAGTTCGACATGACAGACCTAGGAAAGATGAAATACTTCCAAGGTGTTGAGATACAGCAAAGTTCTAAAGGCATTCACTTATGTCAGAAAAAGTATGCTGGGGAAGTACTTAACAGGTTTGGAATAGGAAGCGGCAATTTGGTTAGAAAGCCTATTGTTCTAGGGACTAAGTTGTCGAAAGAAGCTGGAGGTGCTAATGTAGATGCCAATTTGTTTAAGCAAATGGTTGGTAGCCTCATGTATCTAACGGCTACCAGACCAGACATGATGTATGTTGTATGCCTGGTAGGTAGATACATGGCTAAACCTAAAGAGGCACATTTGTTAGCTGCAAAAAGGACG